GTCATTATCTAATTCTAATACAAGTTGGGTTTACCCAACACTCTTAACCTAATATTTCCCAAATCAGGGTAAATTACCCAATTGGATGAAAGTGGTTTACCCATTACACAATCAGAACAGGAACATTTAAATTGATTTAACTTTTTACTATATGGGGCAAAATGGATAGGTGGTTTCAGCTAATGGAAAAAAAATTTGGGAAGCGCTGCTCTAATCTAAACTATAATCAGATGTAATAGGGCTCATTCAACAAACCATGGTTATAGATAAACAATCTGAAGTTCTCCAGATAGTTTGGAATTTTATGCAATTTTGGTAGCCAATGACTGAAAGAAATGAGCAGATAACATGTGATGGTTCTTGGTAAGGATATTAAATTTTGACTGCAAACATCTGAACAGCCACTAGATGACAGAAAAGAGGTCAGGATGTACTTGCTGCTTCTTGCTGCTATCTGGATTTCTGCAGCCTGAATCTGGTAGCTCTAGTTCCAGGGCTTCTGAAAATTTGTTACTAAAGCTTATCTCTTGATCCTTATTTATGAAACAAAAGCACCTTTTCCACTGTGCCCTTGGCACCAAACTCCCAAATGAAAATTCACAACAATATGAACATACATGTGAGCAAGCATGGAATCAAGATGCCATCCCAACTCTTTTTATCATTGAAATATTTACAGCTGACAATCTTAACAGAAGATTGATCACAGCAAGCTTGCTACCAGGAGGCAGAAAAATGGCTTTCTCCATCTGTTCCCTTTTCACCCCTTCTCTGATTTATTTAGTCCTTAGGCAGGTAGGATTCCAAAATGAATTAGGATCCTTTCACTCCTGCTTTATGGGAAAGCTGGCATTGGGCAGGTCAAAATGGCAGCAATAAAACATCTGCATCAATTGCCAGATTTAGTTTTTAATTTATTAATATAATAATAAAGAGCAGAGAAAGAAAGTCATATTGATTCATATTACCTAAAATGAGAATTTAATTTTAAAATGTTTATAGCGATAACAAATATAATAAAACAGCCATAAACACTAAAGCCCTAGAGAAAACAGAATTTTAAAAAATCCAGGCCTTCATCAAGAACTGCATACCAATGGCTAGGAATTCTGGAAGTTATAATTTAATTTTAGCCCATCTGGAACATAGTAAGCTGAAAGAGGCTGACATATAGAACAATAGCCAAGGTTTGAACAAGAATCCTCTGGGTCCACAATGCAAAAAGGACTTGGACGGCATAACAATATGTTACAAATCATATCCTTTTCCAAGCAATTTAAATTACCGTATACTGTATATATAGCTCTGCATTTTCCCCTATTTTACATCCTGCTTCTCCAGGTAAAAAGAAACCTGTAGAGTTTGTCACAGTCCGCAATAGTAGTATCACAACTATTTTGTCTTCTTTGAATACAAGGATATAATAGCATCCCAAAAATGTCAGCCAAATGCTTTTCATGTTATTAGTAAAGTGGTGTTTGAAGGTCTTTGTAGGCTAGATTTAAAGCCCCATGACCATGACATTACAGCAGTGGGCTAATGTAACAGAAATAACCAGATAACCCATGACAACTTTCAGGCTTTCAGAGAGATTTCCTTACTAGATTCCTCACTGCCTCCAACTATGACAATTTCTAATATACTGTATTCACTGGAAAAGTTGGTTCAGGGATGTATTGGCCTTGAAAATATCCAAGGTGAACTATACATCACTGTCAAACATCGGCACAGGAAATGTTTTATGACATTTTAATTTTTATGTCATAAAACGTTTTATAACAGTTGCCAAAAGGGTTATGGTTCCCAGATTTTGGACACATTCTATAAGTTAGTCCATTTGAGATACCTTAGTTCAAAAACTGTTGCCGTGTGATGCATCGTTTCATGCACTTAAAGGTTACAGGAACCAGAGTTTTAGTAGTATATTTTAGTAAAAAGTAGTATATAGATTGAAGAAACAAATGTATAAGGATAGGATGGGGAGGATTTAGTTAAGTGCATTGGGAAAATGATCTTTGACCTGAGTCAGCTGTGTGATATGACTGCCAAAAAGGCAAATGGCTAAATCAAAGGAAATATTTTCCCCCAATGAGAAGGAATAATTTTAACCATTTTGCACTGCTCATACCCCCTTCTAATAATGTGTCCAATTCTGGGTATCATATTTCAAGAAAAGTTAGATGCAAAAAAAGGAAATGGGGGTGAATCAGGGGATTATAAACTAAATTTCCTGTGGACAGTCTAAAGGAACTTGTAACTTTAGAGCAGTGTTTCATAAAGTGTGGTTCTAAGACCCTTGGGGTTCCCCAAAACCTACTCAGGGGCCCATGAAATCAAAATTGTTTGACAGTTTGTGTTGAGAAATACAATATTAAAATCAAACAACTGTGGGAAACAGGAGCGAACGGGTCAATTTTAATATAATAAATATTGATAAATATAAACCATACAAGCACAAACTGTTTTGGGATCCTCCATAATTTTTAAAAGTGGGAAGATGTCTTAAATTAAAAAAAAAAAACACTGGTCTAGAAAAGATGGCAGAGGTGGGTAGCATTCTGCAAGTTATTTGAAGGTAGTACAGTAATCCTTGACCTCCAACAGTTTAATTTAGTGTTAATTCAAAGTTATGGCACTGAAAAAAAGTGACATGATCATTTTTCATAGTGATGATTTTTGCAGCATCCCCATGATCACATCAAAATTCAGATGCTTGGCAATTGGTTCATACTTATGACAGTTGCTGTGTTCCAAGGTCATGTAATTACCTGTTGCAATCTTTTGACAAGGAAAGTCAATGAAGAAGCCAGATTTGCTTAACCACCAGGTTGCTAACGTATCAAGTTCAGTGACTCACTTAACAACTGTAGCAAGAAAGGTTGTAAAAGGGAGCAAAACTCATGTCTCACTTAACAACAGACATTTTGGGCTCAATTGTGGTCGCAAGTCAAGAACAAACTGTACTTGGAAAACGTGTCTACTTGTTTTCTAACATAAGGTTCAGGACACAGAGTAAAGTCACAAAAAGGCAGATTTCTGCTAAATATAAGCTTATTAAAAGCATTCTGACAATGGTATGGGTAAGTTAGCTCTCCTTTGCTGAGCAAAAAGGCAATTATTTGTAAATTATAATTTTAATTGGATTTCTGCATTAAGTATTGTAAGAGATTAGACAAACAAATCCTTCAATTATCTCTGTGGATTTGAGTTTGCTCTTTTTAATCCCTTTTTCACTCTGGGACCCTTTGGCTGGAGGGTGTTGTTCTGGGAAATAACACCCTTTAAAATGGTGACTATGACCTAACAGTCCTAACTGGTTACTGTGTCTTTAGTCTTGTTACTATGACAGCAGCCTTTTGGGGCCTAATAAACTTCTGAAAAACTCTCAAGAGCAACACCATGGCTCTCTATTAAAGTCCCTTCTTCACACATTATCAAGGTTATGGACTGTATGGAAGACCAAGGGAATATGATTATTCTTCTATAATCTGTCCTAGCTGAAATTTAACTACTAGAGCCAGGATAAGGCCCAGAAGCAAGACTTAATGCCACAGAAGTCCAGCACATTAGCTGTACTAATCACCTAAGGCTGCAAGAAAAGAAAATGCCTTTTCTCTCTCCTTTCTTAGATCCTGCTCTACACCCCAGTAATTAAAAAACAGTGGAGATTAATTACGGCAAACTATTAGAAAGCAGGCAATGCATAAAGGCAACACTTTGAAAACCTCTTATTTGCTTAACGTTCAGACGGCTTGCAACGGCAAAAAAAAGAAAAATCATTTGAGGACACCCAATTCGGTGGTGCAAAGTATAAAACCGGCCACGAACAAGGCCACCACCGATTAGTGGAAGGAAAGCACGGAAGGAAAAGAAGTTAAATCAAAGTCTATCGCTTTCCCTTTAGGATTATGGGAGGAAAGAAGCATCCAGTGGGCGAATTCCGAGGGCGAAACCACTACAGCTGGCGAAGCCGCGGCTTTATTCTCGTCTTTCCTTCATTTCAGGAAGAACTTGGAATGTTAGAACAATGCCCCAAAATTTTAGACGGGCGTTCCAAATTCTGCTGCGCCGATCGCAGCGCGCTAATGCTTTACGGTCACACCCGCCCACCATCCCCAAGAAATACTTCTGGGTGAACCTGAGTTCACTTTGCTTAATTTAACTCATCGCTACTGACTTAGACGTAACTAATTAATATGACGTCGATGGGTTGTCGCGCAACCCATCCTTCTGCAGCTAATCACGTAGCTTTCGCTTAAGCCTGGAAGAGTAGTTTTGGGTTTAGAGATACTGGTAACCCAGATGCGTCTCCACCCATTTGCAGGGTCCCGACTTGAAAAGATTTAAACACCCAGAGATTCGTGGTTCTGCTCAAGCCCGTTGAAAGTGAATAGGAGTTGCCGCTATCTGTTTTCCGAAACTAAAAGCATCCCCCCCCACTCTACCCAGCAAACAGTGGAGAAGCAACGTCTGCTAATGATTAAAAGGAACGGTTGTTGGAGGGGGGGGGGCGGGGAAATGGTGTGGAATGTACCATTGTGATGCACATGGAGGTTAGGCCGTTCCTTTAACGTCTACCGAAGACCTGAAAGTTGTCATGTACGGCGACTGGGATTGATTGCCAACGGATTGCACAAAGTCAAAAAGTTTCATCAAAATACAGAATAAAATATCGACGTTTTTATCCAGGGGAGATTCCCCACCCCCTCACATCTCGGGAAAGTAAGAAGGTTGGGATTCTACCACATGAAATGAAAGAGGGGGATACTTCATTGATCTCGCAGAGATTCATTAAACTCTGTATTTCTGGAAATGGTTGAAGTGCTGTTTCTGGTTCTTTCCCTTCCCTTCTTTAAGTGTGGGGTAACATTAACTGTGCAAGGCCTCCAGCTTTTCTGGCGGTTTTACCCATGTTGATAGGGAATGGTACGCTCCAAAGGGGAGGGGAGAGTTAAGCCCCAGCCAGGGGGTTGGCGTTGGTCAGTCGTAGGGTGGGAGGTGGCTGAGCTGGGGGGTGGTTCTTTGGAGCTGGGAGGGAGGAGCCGAGCAGACCCGGGCTTGGGGGGTGACCATGGGTGGTTGAGGGGTGCCGAGTTCAGAGGCGGCCCATGCTGGCGGCCATGGCCGAGGATTACTGGGACTCGCAATAGCAGCAACCGCCGCCAAGGTAAGAGACGATTCTTTACCAAGGAGAGATTGGGGCGGCGGGGGTGGGGGAAGCGGGTCGTGGAATCCACAGGACCTTTGAGCCCTTGTTCCGAATCTTCCCCCCTTGAGGGATCATTCTCCCTGCGTTTAGGTTGGATCGCCCGTTTTCATACGACAGATCTGATCACGCAAGCGGTCTGGTTGACCTTTCTTTAATTCTTTACTGGCCTAAACACCCCCGCCCCCCCAAAAAAACTCCTAATACTATGCTTAATTAATCACTGAATTCTCGTTAAAAATATTTGCCGTCTTTCTCTTTCATTAGGGAAAAGTGGGGTCTATGACTCTATGTTGATCTGTTTTTCAGCTGTTTCTATTCCATATTTATCTCGAGTCTATTTCCAAACTCTTCCTCAATAGAGCTGCGTGAATCAGATCCTGCTCCTTTTGGCCCAAAGGCAAGCTGTTTTAGTTCAGGATATTAGAGCCCAGACTTTCTTCTTAATCTTCCTTCCCTGGTTTCAAGTTCTTTCTACAAAGTCCCTGGGACCCACCCCTTTAGGGTTTGAAACCTGCATACCTTAGTGCTGAAATTAAGAAAAGTAGGGTTGGACTTGCATGGATCTTGAGTCTTCATCATTTTATGTCCCATCGGTATTATTGACTCCCCCTACCCCCATCTACTTCTCCCAGTTAACTGCCATGCCCTAAAGATTCCTCATTCCTATCAGGCCTTCCTTTTATGTTCAAGCTTTTCATTGTCTTTGGGCTTTTTGAGATTCAGTCTGGGTATTTAATATTCACCCTGTAACTGATGATTCAGGGTTAGATGTCCTTTTCTAAGAGGTATTTGAACTTGCTGGGTGAATCTTTCACTCCCCCCCCTTTTTTAGGGACATCCTCTTGTTCTTTGCTTTATGTTCAGATTGACTTCTCAAATTGCCTTTTTTTTCTCCCTCTCTAATCATGATCATACATATAACTACTCTTTCTTGGAGGTGAGAAATCTTTGCCCTTCTGATCTTAAAAGTAGTTATTCTTTCTAAATAGTTAAGTTGCATTCCATCAGTCGTATCGTAAAGCTTGTAGCATTTCTTTTCACGAGAGGTGGTTGGAACTGGATGTATGTTTTTCCTAGAGAATCAAGGAATCCTTCCCTCCCCCCCTTTTTTAACACTTTATATACATGGAAAAAGATTGTGTGCTCTTCCTTTCTTTCTCCCCTGGAAACCATGTGCAGAAATGTGTGTGGAAAGAATGTAATGGGGATCAGCATTCTTTCTGGCTAGGAAAAAGAGAGAAGAAACTGAATTCCAAAGGACGACAAACTGATGTGAGCTGATTTCTGTTCTGGAATTCCAGCTGTTCTTGGTCAGGCTGGAAGGGTGTTCATTTTCTCACTTCCCACCTCCAGACCTGATGCTATCACCTGCTGCCTCACAAGTCTGATGATGTAATGTGGGGGGAGGGGGCTTCCATCTCCACTCCACGCAGCACTGCATCTGCAACTCATAATGTGTGGGTAAGTAAAGGGTTCTTATGACGATGCTGGAAAGTTGGCATGGATTAGGGTTGTCCTGAGAGGAATTGCTTTGGGGCAGCTGCTGGCCAGATTACCCCTGGAGACATTTGGTGCAAAAGCCTGAAAAAAGGGAGTGGGCCTAGGTTTGTCCCCTATAAGTAACCTAGTATTTATTAGAAGGCCTGATTTCCTTCTTGTCAACCTATTTTACTATTTATTTTGTTGGGGCTGACAACATAGCCTCTGCCATGTCTTTCTAGTTAGCTTGTCCTCATTTGGCTCCTGAACCTTTGAGGAAAATGTTTTTGTCTATCTGGCATGCTCATTAGGGTACTTAATTCTGTGTTGATGAGATGGCTTTCCCCTTCCAACTTATTTCTTTCCCTGCCAACTGAAGCATGGATGATTGGTTTTTGGCACTCAGTGGACTTGGCATTTGGGCCAGGTCTTAGGGATCTGCAGAGGGAACTGCATTGATATCTTAGCTGCTCGGTCTTCAGAAGACAAGGGACTTGGGAAAGCTTGGTTGCAATGAAATCTTTCTTTCCCTCTTTTATAATATTTTAGGACTTCTTCTTAGAATCTAAGTAGCTAACATTTTTTTTTTGTTTACTGGTCAGTGGGTTTTGGTTACCCTTGAATGTGACTTGTTATTGAATAAACTGTAAACTGTATTGGAGCCAAACAGTTATTTCTTGAAGTTGCAATACAGCGCTCCAGATGTTTAGGAATTGGGGGCACCTGCAGTCTAGTAGGGCCTCAATCTTCCAAGAGGCAAAATGGTACCAGATTGCCTCTCTTTAACTACTTTAGTTACGCACACAAGGCAGATCCGAGCACTCTATGACAAAAGCACCTGCAGAAAGTATGTCCACAAGGTAAAAGAGCTGTACTTGATGCAGGTAAATGAGCCAACTTGCAATGTTTTAAATGCATGAAATAAAAAACACGAGAATGGAAAACATTATACTATTGCATCGTCTTTTGATTCCCTTGTTATTCATTCACAGAATAAACTGGGGGAGTGAGTCTTATTGAGGCCTACTGGACTCAATGATTAAGTCTGCATAGACTGCATTGGTGGACTATCTTTGAGTGGGAGGTTGATTCTGGTCTCTCATGACCATCTCCACTATTCAAAACAATGCTTGTAGTTGCTCTGTCTCTTATCATTCTTCATTGGTTGTGATGGCATTTATGTTTTATCCTTCCAGTGCCTATGGGACAATTTCTCCTGCATGCAGATGAGGAACAGTTGATGGGATACTGCCATTTTCCCACAGTTGCCTAATGGGTAGATTTTAAACTTGGTTTAAGCCTGTGTTATATCTACATGTCATCCTCCATGCTAACAAAACTTAGACATTTTTTCTTCCCTCAAGTCTTAACTCCCATGTTCTTAACTGCTGAACAAAAATCTTAAAGAGTCTATACACTGTTCCTTAATTGTCCTGCAAATATGACAGACTACAGTTTTTATACATCTGTATCGAGGAATAAGTCTTTGTTGAATTGTTAATATTTACTTAAGGTTAAATGTGTTTAGAAGTGTCCTTTGATGTATGTGATGGGATTTAAGGATTGAAGCATACACCCCCTCTTTGGGGTATACCCAGATTAATTTACCTTATTTTGCTTTTTGTGGATTCAGTTGCCATTTCAGAAGCATCACATTTAGGATTCTTGCTCTTTTAGCTTTTATTCATCCCCACCCTCTTGTCTTCCCCTTGACTATAAAAGGTGATTTGGTTCTTCCTCCTCCTGCCTTGTGAAGGTAGACTTCAACAATGCTTGAGTAATACTGCAAAAACTTGGAAGGGAAAGATGGGCCTCTGAAGGCACCTTAATTCCTTTTTGTACTTTGTTGGCCCTCATCTTGGGTAGAATAATAAATTATGCTAAATAAGCAACTTTTCCTATCTTTTCCCAATTTCCATAATATGCATAGTGCCTGAGCCTTTCTTGGCATAAAATTCTGCTAAAGGTCAGAATTATGACCCTTTAAAAAACAACCACAGCCCAAGCTTTTCCTCTGATGATAAGAACTTTGCTATGAATATTGATTGCTTGTCTTTTTGTACAGCTCTTGACTGCTTGGTCCCCAAATGACAGCTTTGTTAGATTTTTTTTAATCCTGTCAAAGCAAAGAACTTCGCGCTGTACAACGCACAAAGTAGCTACAGTTCTGTGAAATCTTATCATTACAGGGGTAGCCATCTTCTCGCCATCATAGATTATATGTTGTGGTGTTGATTTTAACCTTTATACGCCGCCCAGAGCCTCTTCCATGAGATGGGTGGGTCTATAAGTCATTTAAATAACAAAATAAAATAATTTTTCCTTATACGTCAAGCAGGGCCAGCATTACACCCTCCAGGCACTCTGGATTTCCTCATTAAGAGTGCAGTGCTGCATTTCTGACTTAAACACAAAGATGTTGTGAGGTGCACGTGACGCAAACATGGCACCTGTTTGCAGCTCCTTAAAGCAGCTGCAACTGCTGTTGGGATGGCACGAATGCCTTCTGTAGCTGTTTCAGAATCCCAGAAAAAGATGAGTTTCAGAAAACTGCTAGATCCATGCCCAAGATCCTCCAAAGAATAGTTTTCGCCTTTGTACTATATTAGAAACACTGCAAAATCTCATTCAAGTCAAAGCTTTTCTGAAGAGGAATTTTGGCTGCTGTCCATTGCCATTTGGAAGTGGGCAAAAGGCAGTAATGCAGTAGTGCATCCATTAACATTTTGAGCAACTTTTTTCATGTGCTACATCGGGCAGTGCATACTGGTTATATATGAGTTGGGATCTGGATATATATTGTACATCAGGGGTCCCCAACTTTTTTGGTTCTGCAGACCATCAGTGGCTTCGGTGGTTTTGATAACGGGATGGGGGGGATGGTTTTCTGTGCACAACCTAAATCCCGCACCTGCGCAAATGCAGCTTTGCGTGCTTGCCTGCCGCTTTGGTGACCTGGTTCCCAATGAGTCACAGCCCAGTCACAGTCTGCAGCCCAGGGATTGGCGACGCCTGCTGTATGTGTATGCTTAGTGGAATAAAATAGAAGACTGTTTTTGTTAGTGCCACAAAAAAAATCTGGACACAATTTGAGAACTTGGTAGAACCTCCGCAGTCCTGTGATTATCACTTGGCTATCTTGAGTCTGTCAAGTGGCCAGAACGGAGGTGGAAGGAGGGGACTTGGCTAGGTATTTATTTCAACTTGCCTTTTGTCCCTTTCTTGCTCAGGCTGTATGGGCAAAATGAAAGCAATGCCCCATTATAATGTACTATTATTAAATATTGACTTGAAGAAGGTGGCTTTGCCAGTTTTCTCCAAACTATATATTGTTGAAATGTAACTGACCTGTAAGGAAAGAGTTCTTTGGTGGAGACACACCGTGAAGACTGATGTTTGGCCTACCCTAGGTAGCCATATTTCAACATATTCAGCTATAGCCAAGTAGAAATAGTTAAACCCAAAGTGCTTATTATAGG